TAATAATTGCTGGATTATATGAAAAATAACTCATTTGCTGCTTGCAAATTATCATTATGAAGTTCCTATGAAATTTGAGAATTATTCATAATCATATTTCTTAAATTTTGCAAAAGTTTATATGCTAAGAAAGATATGGACCATCGTCTTTAAAGTGGTCGGTTACGGTTATGGCCGGTTAGTGACTTAACTATAACCATCGAAAATTTTTGATAGACTGACCGAATAGTATTTGGCGATTATTAATCATCCAATGTGTAACAAAACATTTATAATGTTACAAGCGTGAATCGTAAAAACATTTTGGTCAATTAACTTTATCGGCGGATTTGATGAACGTGTATTTTTTTTTTTTTTTCTTTCATTCTTTATTTCATTCTTTTTTAGTTGGCTAATCAAATTTTCAGGATAAGTATTACACGAGCAAAAAGAAACACGAAAAGAAGAAATCAACTTGTCATAACTCAAACATTTTATCTGAGATTGTCTTCTATGTATCAAGTCTTTTAAGTTTTTTATCTTCAAACTTTAATAGCGAAATTTTTAGATCGGTAATGTAGGATTTTTTTTTTTTTAGCACAAATTATTTTTAATGCACATACTTTCATGAAGGTTTGGGCTATTTGACCGGTTATGGTCGGTTGTTTTGACTTAGAATTGAGAATTTTACGGTATAATTGGTATAATAGGTTTTTTATATTGTATTATAATTGAGAATTTGGTAGCATCGAATCGTCTCACTGAGATACCAAAATCACATAATTCTGGTCAACAATCACTGATTGACCATGATCAATCGATTATGAGAAGAAAAAGCGGAAATGTGAGATGGAGAGCCCATTAAAATAACAAAGAAAGCTTCTTAATAATATTCTTTTAATTAGTGGGCTAATATGTATTAAATTTAATTTTGATTGGCTATACATTATTTTCTAATTATCTATATAAATTTTGATGGTATATCTATGCGCATTAAATATATGTTAATGTGTATTAATGCAAACTCATACTTATTAAATTTTCTAAATAAAATTTTGATGGGATAAAGTGCGCATGATTCAGAATAATGCACATGAAACCCATTTCTAATAATAACGACCGATAACGTTAACTGACTGTGGTTGACCGGATCCATCCCTAATCGTCTTTATAAAAATATAATTAATATAGTCTTAATAAAAATTGCATAGTTTATACAAAATTCATAATACAAAATCTTTGATGTTTCTATGTCGTCTTCAGTCAACACAACATTCGATCTTGCAAAATATGGTCAAGACGTTTAAAAGCTGACGCTCATCTAGTATCAGCAATTAAAGTAAGCGCAATTACAAGATTATATATATATCTTTTTCAAATGACTAAGTCATCAGAAGATGGTTACGAACAAGAATTAGCTTGGTTTTTGTTTTTAGAATTAATTCGTCTTAAGGATTTCTTTAACTCAAACATTGGTTCCACACTCAGCATCAAACAAAGTCTTATCTGGATATTTAATCTTTAAAACATTCCACGTACATTCATATTGTTTGCGTCGTCATAATGCTAACGAATTCTTTAATTCTAATTTCCTGCATTACGTTCTCAATTTCTTTGTAATGTATGGAAATTATCATTAGTTAATATGAATCGATTTATAAATTAGAAATATGAGTAGGTGTGTTTACAGTGAAGTTATTTACTTTATTTTTTTTTTAGCCAATTAACAAGCAAAAATTAATTTTTATAAACCAACTTTACTATGATGCACCAATGATATTTAGATAGCGATGCAATTTTATCGGCAAAAATCAAATTTGTTTGGCCTTTTCGGACAAAGAAGGATATAAACTTGGCCGAATTGGCCGTTTTTTGGCCGGCCAAAATTTCTTTTGTCGATAAATTGCAGACACTGGTTTAAATGCTATATTTCTATTTAGCTTTTAAGCATTTGACAACTATCATAACCAAGCAACGGTTTCATCTTACCGTATTTTCGCGTAATAACGCGCAGGGGTGTAATTTCAAATTCTGGCCCAAAATAAGCTTAATTCGGGCCATTATTCGAAATAACGCTCATGAGCGTTATTACGCGAAAATACGATTTAATTTTATCGTTATGACTTTTCCTTTTTTGGTCTAATTGAGCATTAACTAAATTAGTAACGTGATTTTTAAAGCCTCTATATGAAATAGCGTGTATACTGACACGAGGCTAACATGATAGATGATGTCTCTGTTGTAATATTCTAGGTTCTAGAAATTGTGTTCTTTAGTCAAAATATATAAAGAGAAGAATTTATTTTAATAAAGCGAAAAAAACAATCTCATTGTCATAATAATTTTCTTTCATTAAGACCTCACAACATTGATTCGCCCTTTATAGAATTACGTACTATGATAATTAGAAACCTTGTATTATTCAATCCATATAGCAGCTAGAGCTACACTGCGCATTCATTATGCGTTTCTCTCCCAAAACCAGACTCATCTGCACCTCTGGCCCTATGTTAAAAAGACTAATCAGTCCGGACCAGTAATTCTAATTCAAGTGGTAACTTACTAGTTGAACTACCATATATTCCAATTCCATTCAGACAAACCCAGTTCAAGCATTGCACATGTGATTATCAGAGGATGATAAAATCTTATGTAGCACTGTTATCTTCAGAATGTTTATATACTGTAGATACAAATTCCTAAAAAGGATACATCGGAAATTTTATTTTATAGTACAGTACTGCATATCAAACTTATAGAAATTCTATCATTCCACCTTGCACTATTTTAAATTGGTGTTTCAATACAAAAATCAAAAAAGGGAATTTGTGCTCATATATTGCAGAATCTCTGCCCTAGCTTGACCATCGCCTCAACAAGCTTTCATTTAACTTAAAACCAAACTATATCAAGAATTATATCATTTTTGTTTAATAGCAAGTTATTTTTATAGAATTGTTTTTTTTTTAGCCCAACTGCCTCGTGTGTAACACTTTTGCAGATATATGTCTTTTTTCATATTCATTTTGAAGCATTTTCGTGTCTTTTATTTTACTTTTAAATGAAAGCGAAAATTATTAAGAAGATTTTAAAGCCTAAGTCAATTATTG